GATAAACAAACGGAAATGTCCTTGGTTTGAGGCAAATTGCACTTACTTACTTTTCTGCGGCAGTTGAACCGCCTGTCGTTAGTATAAATAGACACAAGTTATCAAAAAAGACAGACAAATCAAGCTGGAATGCAAAAAACACTGATGCTTACACTGTCGCGGTGTTTCTCACGGCACTGCGAACAGATGTTGCAATGACAATGATGGCAAGTATCCACTTCTTTCGCTCCGACTGGTCTCCTGCAGGTGCTGCAACGCATAGAGGAGGGAGGATTTTCCCTGATTCTCCGTTCACCAATCGACATCTCCTCCACACAGTCGCCTTTGTTCTTCGCCTGCTGCTTCGGCATCTGATCTTGCTGCTGTTCGTGTTTTGTCGAGATCAGAGTGAGCTTCGCTGCAATAGTATAGTTGGGACGCAGTTTAGCCAAGTCGAACGTCGCATGACAACGGATGCAGCGCGCTGTCATCGCTCTGGCGTGAGGCAGCAGGCAGGGTCTCAAGCAGAACGTGTGCCCACATGGCAGACTGTAAGGGTCGCTCATCCTTTACAGTACAATCAGAAACAAAAACAGGGTTCACCGATTTGCTGCAGAGGAATATGCCAACTCCTATCAGATATAGCCTTATGACCTTAAATCGGGTACACACATAAGTGAACCTAGTACTCAACAGCTTAGCCGTTCTGATTCACCCCCATAGCCACAACTGCAAGGGAAGCCTTTGTGGCAAATTTAAGACGCACATGCCAGCTATCGCTGATTTCGTGGCGATTCCAGCTCTATTCCAAGAGCATTATTATGCTTTTTCAACCATGCGATTCTACCGAATAGTACGTTTACCTGTCCTATGCTCCCTGCCTCCACTTTCATGATGGTCAGTAATAATTTATTTCCATGTCATTTCAAACGGTATGTATGACTGTGCAGAACCTCACAGCTGAGTCACTCAATTAACTACTCAGATGAATGGCAAACACCTGTCACAATAAAAAAAGTTAGTATTTACGCAAATAACTCACAATTTTGTGCATACACCACAAATGAGGTCCGCGTTAGTTGAGGCCATCGCTTCACCAAACTCGCCCCTGATCAAATGACAAAGTGAGGCTTACACCACACTTCCAATCTGGCAGGCACTTTTGCCATTTCTATTTGTCAATTCTTGTAGCTGCTTAACCAATCACCTCGAAGCGTTGTTATGGTTCAGCTACCTGGTTCCTTGCGGTCTGTCAGTTTGATTGCTGCTTTTGCGATTGGCTGTTTTATTATTAATTATAATTGTTGACTTGTTTCCCATTTCTAAAAAAAAATTAAAAATTTAAACAACAATTTTGCTTTCACTACTTAAAATTACACAACGAAGGGTGTCAATCAGTACGTATCCCTCTCAATGTTTTTCAGAAGAATGTCCAGCATTACATTTTCTGCGCCAAATTAGTGCAGCTCTGTTTTAGAAAAAGACCTGAACTTCACTTTTTATAGTCTTTTGAAGGTAAAGTATGTAAGTTTGCCTTCTCATTCATTCATTCATTCATTCACGCACGGATTAGAACACAGGCATGCTCTTACGATATCGACGTACCTAAAATGTATGGAATGATGAACAATGTCAGTAGGGACAGGATAGCTAAACATAGTATTCCTTGGGAATGGTCTCCATTAAGTTCCTTAACAAAGGTAAATTATGTGTAAGGACAAATACTCTATTTATGCATGATTGTTAAAAGTGACTGTTGTTTTATTTCTCTCTAGAATAGCCAGCTATGCTGCTGCTCTCCCTCGATGTCTACATCACACTATCTCCAATTGTGTTTTTGCTTCGTTAATTCCCACTCCACTTACTCAGGCTATACTATACTAATACTAGGCACTCCCTTCCGCGCCCTCATATTTTTCCCTTCAAACGAACACATTTGAATTTGAATTGGTGACTGCTGACGTGAGGATACGAAGACATGTCCTTGTTGAGCCAATCAACGTGCATTTCTACTGATACTTGCTCCCCCGTTTCATCAACCCTTGAGTAGCATTACCCAATTTGGGTGTGATGAAGGCGTCCTCGAAAACAAGGTGCGGTGATTGTTGTGTGGGAATACGTTGTGTTTGCACTACCCTCCGAGTAGCACCTTCTTCGCTGCCTTCATCTGCTTGATTATGCTCTGAGCTGTGCCAATCGCGTTAGGTGTTGTGGCAAAGGGTCCAATTACACTGCCAAGTGTCTGATTACCTCTAGTGGTGCTACAACTTGAAACATACTGGCTATTCTCCGTTGTTTAAATGAGCTTAAGACGTGCCATGAAATCCATAGTAAAATTTAATGCCTACGATCTACTACTGGTTGACAAAGTTTACTTTTAATAGTTTGTGGAGCAGAATAGAATGCAAAATAACGCATATGCCATTGCTTCTACTTGTGGTGGATGTTCTTTGGTTTCATGTTAAAACAAAAGCTTTCCCATTAGTTTAATAAATCTGATCCATTGCTTTATTTCCCTTCTCATTGCAGCCTCTAGTGATGCATTATCTTTCATCAAAATTGCTGCTGATTTGGTGGGTGTGTATGCTGTGTACCCAAAAGTGGGTGAGAATTCCTGTTGTAGAACTCACAACTTGTGCCCGTTTGTGAGTGTTGGGGGTGCTAGTACGGTAAATTTTGTCACTGAACAAGGTAGGATGTGAGGCCATTTCTCAATTGCAAAATCCAGTTATCCGTTATTGTATTTGCTAACCACTTTTCCAGCACTTTCATTTTATTGGTAAGATGACACCGTTCTCGCATTCCTCATCATTCAAGTGGGTAAATGTGCACATTCTCGCATCTGGTTGGTCACAACGCCCAGTTCTGTGTCTGCGTGTTTTTGCGACATCAATAAAAGAGAGAATGGTTTAAGCTGTGAACCACAAAATACCGTGAAATTTTGTAGTCATGCCTTTACCCATTCGAAAGCAGTACTTCTAACAGGACGTAGGTCACGATTTTGCGCATTTGCGTTCCTGACCGACGTAATGGTTTGCCTCTACTTTATAGAGGCTGCTAACAACCAATAGCCTCCAACTTAGGAGCAATGGTTGAAGAATAGCTAAGTAGGTATGTGAAGGCTGTTATGAATGCTTACATATGCAATCACCAAAATGCAAAACGAGTACCAATTTACTATGCGTTAGGCTTGAATAATCGCAAAAAATAATAACATTTTCTGAGCTTTGCAACTGCATGGTTTGCAGTGTCAAAAGAAGGGGGAATGTCTTATTTTGCAGATCCATCTATTCTATTTTACATGTCTGCCTGCTCACTAACCAAGTTTTTTGTTGCCAAAGTAGGGCTACACTCGCTTTTAAACTTTTTGCTTATTACTTCGTGGTCTGCATTTTTGGTGTCGTGGTCGATGTCTATCCACTTGATCACCTTCTCACGCATTGCAGTTGTGTTTTATTGATACTCCTCCAATGTCTTTTGCTTCAGCTCATCGCTCTTCATTCTCTGCTTTATGCTTAAGGTGTAGTTCTCTAACTTAGTCTTCGCTGCCATTAAACTCCTCTTTTTCTCATCCGCCTGCTTGGACTTCTTTGCATCCATAATTATCTGCTCAACCTCCTCTTCCAGTAGACGACCCATACCGTTGTTGATGATGCTGTTGTTCTGCTTTCCTGGTAAAAAAATCTGCCTTTTGGAATGGAAGTGTAAGTCACACACCACAGCTTGGTCAGAGAGAAGTATAAGAAAGCGGTGAATTAGACCGAGGCGCAACCCATTTGCAATGTGTGTGCTGAGCTACGAATTACTAATACCTAAAACAACCCCATTTTGTAGCGATAACATAATGCAGTATTTCATTTCCAGTTTCATTTATTCATGCATATGTCCTTGCGCATGTGTGTGCATACGTACGGTGTTCGAACCACGACAACATCACAAATATTCTGCTTTCATCATCCAGTCATAACAGAGGAGCTGAGTGACAAGCTGCCGAGAGTGCCATGAGTGTAGTGGGTCTGGTGTGATCGGTGCATCTGACAGAGTCGCTTGTTAACACAACAGTCTTCCACTGAAAATATGCACAACTCAACCTGTAGATGTTCATGTCTACCGGATATTCACACCTACTTATCAAAGTAGAGCAGGTGGATGCTACTGAATCAACTTAGTGAGTGGTTTCTCTTTAAAGTTCAGGAAGGCAAATGCTTAGGCATCCTTCCTGCTTACACTTTGGCCACCGTCTCGGTGATATGACTTTCCATTTACCCAACTTCTGTTGACAGATCACCACTTCTTGTTTACATTTCCCACGTTCTAGCCACACTCATTTACCTTGGGCCATCTTCGAGGAACGCTTGGTCTCGACAACTCTTTGCTATTGATATAGACAGCATATGGAGAGAACAGTCGTTGCCATTGACATCTAGAGCGTCCCTGAAGTCTCCTTTATTATTTTCTCTTGATAATAATTTTGGTGGTGTAGGTACTGGTTAGTCGCTTTGTTTGCAAACATCGCAGCTTTTTTTATCTCCATATGGTCTGGATACACATTCCACATTCAGTACTGCAGAAAATTGCGGATTTCAGAGAGTAATGATTAAAAAAGTAATGCAGTAAGGCCTAAAATAGCCTCGAAGAAAGGCAACACGGCAACCAAGCCACTAATGAATCAGCGAAATGCTGCTTGCTTACGCTGAATGACCGCTCACACTAAGAAAATCATAATAAAGAATGATAAGTGCCTTTAATACTGGAAAAGTTGGCGTTTTGCATAATACTATCTCCGCTGCAAATATGCCGTCACACACAAAATTGCATGCAAGTCAAACTCCTTTAAAACGCCGCTTCACAAAACAAAACGCACACAAGCTCTTAATCTTCAAATGTACAATAAACATGCTCTAATTCATCTGCACAGGTCTTCACTGCCTTCTGTTTTCCTTCCTCTCTCATTCTTCCTACAATTCTTACACACTTGCCCTATACATCTCCGCCGAATCATCTAATCCAAATAATTCTTTCTCATCATAATTCTAATCCTCTTACTGCTCTTCTACTTTCACAATCTCCCTCGTCACATTTTCCGCCTTCGCCCACAAATTGGTTGGATTTAACAACCAAAAGACGACTTTCATCCATTCACTTTTTGAAGATCTTATTCTTTCTTATTTTCCTTCTCCATCTCTACCTCCTCCATTTATTGCTGTAGATTGCCCAAAATATCACCCCTTGTCTCTTCTTTTTTGACGTCAAATCTGCCTCCTCCTCCACCACCACAATGCCAACATCCAATGGATTCACTTCTTCTGTCTGCATTTTCTTTCTTCCTACTTCTTCTTCATCATCTGTTTCGCCCTTAGCATCTGCAATACTTCTCTGCTCTTCACTCCTCTTGCCAAAGTGTACCAGCCGCTGCTACACTGAACCTACTTCATCCCATTTATGCTTCAATTAAACATGATCCGTCCGCTTACCGACTCAGGGTTTACGTTCTCTACACAAAATACTGCTGCCATTTCATTTATGACTTCAATAGTTCCTTTCTTTATCCTCAAACAGAACATTTCATGAGATGCAGAAGCTACATTCTCCATTTGCATGAAACTAGCGGCAATTTGCTCTGTACCAGAATCCAGTTTAAGTATGGTGTTAAACGGTAAATAATAGCTCTGTCTCTTAACCACACCCAATGACGGCAGAAGGTACTGAGCATGAGGACATTCAAACACCGCATGTCTGCCTGGAAGACATAAGGTAATCGAATGTGTGTACGCTGGAATGTGTTAGAAATGCCTTAGGCACCTCGAGCTCTGCAGGTCGCAGTGGTATCAAAAGGGGCCCTTGGGGAGCAGTAAAATATTAAAATGAGTTCAATCTAATAAAGAGTCAATAGGACATCTATGGCGATGGTCCCCATCAGTTGTTTACATTGGAGAACATCCATTCGCAAACCTATACCACCTATTGAGTAGAGAACATAGCAAATAAAAGTACTGCAGCCTCAGTCAAAAAAACAGTTTTACAAGTGTGACCGAAGTAAAAGGATGACATTCACCTTGTCTGATATCTGTTATAACTAATGCCACATATTGCTAAATTTAGTCACACACATTGCTTCAGGTGATACAAATCCTACGAGAAGGTGTTATTAGAAGAAGCCGGCAAGCCAGCTGGAACATTCGAAGACTCAAGCCTTAGAGGAATAAGGTATTTACACCTCTCCTACTTACATCAGCTGGTTACACTCTCGACGATCCGGAATCTTGAATTTTGCCAGATATCATTAATGGGAATAAAGCTTCAAATTGATCACTGGAGAGCGTTAAGAGCAACACGGCAGTCAACAATCATAAACATTATAGTGAAGGAGATATGTAGCTTGCATAGCCAGAGAAAAGTGGGTCATGCTCTGCTCCTCCCCCTCACACTCTCCAATTCTGTGAGACCGAGGGTGACCTCAAACCACTGTCTAAGTCAATAAGGGAGCATGTATTCCAGGTCACCTTCACAGTTAATTTCGTTTGTCTCCTCGTAACAGAGCAATACATGCACAAATCTCAACTATTTTCCTGTTCACATTTAAGCTTTAAATACTCTTCGATGGCTATTCAGTAAAATATTAAAATGCACTTCATATGGTCCCACCATCGCCTATTCACTATGTTGACCAATCCAGAAATGATGCAACCGGCACAAGGGTTGAAGCCTACCCTCTCATCCACACAAATCCGCTCAATTTCCCGATTAGTGGCACTATAGAGATGAAGTGAGAGGCGTGTGGTAGTCAGTCAGACTAACAGATTGCTTAATTGATGGGCTCTAGTCTTAATCATGCGTGTGCCAACCGAGACCAGACCAGCATAACTATCGACAGACCTGTGGTAACGCATTGTACCGATTGGTTACACTACCATGAGAATAGACCAATAGAAATGGCAGAAGTGTTTGCCGGGTTGGAAGCGTGATGTTAGTCACACACTGCCACTTTATCAGAGGGAAGTGTGCCGAAGCAATGGATACAACTGACGCGGATGTCATTTGCGGAGTATGCACAAAATTGTGAGTTAGTTGCGTAAAATGTGACTTTTTATTGTAGCCCTATCGGGAGGTAGTAAAACAAGGTGGTATTTTTTAATGAGGCCATTCGCATTCATCTAAGTTCGTCAATGGCTTTTCCTATAAGGGCATCATTTCAGTGGCAGATTTGGCCTCTGGTATGGGATATAGCTCAACTGCCACCGCATAAAACGAGTAGGAGTGGAGGAAAAAGTTTCGCAAGGCCATTGTTATGGTAGAGTGAAATCGTTAGGCTGTTGAGACATAAGATTACTCAATTTTTGTGTGAGC